AGTTAAGAAGGTTAACATGGTTGCTCATCTGAAAAACATTTTTTAAAAGATGCGTGTTGAATATTTACTTGCACTAGCGGAAAAAACAAATTGGCGATGGCGTTGGGACTTTGAGTTTCGGTATGGGGCTGGAAGTCGACTCACTTTTAGATCTGTAGGGTTAAGCACATGTTAGATTTGGAAGGAGTGTGATTTACAGGCACACACTAGCAGAACAAATGTACATATACACTCCACACAGTACAATCATATTCTTTCCAAGTGCCTCAACATGCAGATACTGTAGAGCTTAAACACAGATTGAAAAAGGAGGGAGTACACACAGGTGTTCAGTTCAAGCAGTCTTCTTACGTCTTTGACAGTTTTAACGTTATTTGTCAAACTAATGTTTATGGTTTCTACAATATTTTGAGTGACTGACATACATGTGATGGATTGTTGTGTAGTTTCTTTGTTTTCCCTTCTTTTCCTGTTTTTTATGTCACTGCATCGTTTAACCGGCTCATTTGGTGATTTGACTTTTAACTCATACACTACCTTCTTCATTTGTTTTGGGTTCACATTTCTTCCAGTCCATTCTCTCCATCTCTCTCTGTTCAACTGGGTTCATTGTCCTGGGAATTCTGTATTTTGTGCCTCAGTGTTTGTCTCAAGTCTAAAACGGTTTTTTCCCCCTCTACACTATTTACTGTGAATTTGCAACATGTAGTAGTTTTAACACACATAACATGTTTTAAAGTATTTTTGTCATTTTCAGTCGGTAGTTGAAGCTTTTTTGTGTTGTGAGGTGCACATTGTCTGCAGACACCAAAGGAATTAAAATTCTTGTTACACCGGCGACGTTCTTAGTTTTGGATCGTTTATTGCAGTAAACCGAAGTAACTTCATGTTTGGATGAAAAATGTCAGGTACTAAACACATGTCTATTATGCTTTCAGCAAGAGATTACACACTACATTGAGAGAGAATAGATGCAGTAAGGTTATGTACTGTAGCCTCTTGTCTTGTACATAGAAAGGTAAGATCAAGCTGCAGGGTTTTAAACAAGATCACCTCGCAGCACATTTGCCTTGATACAACCTTTGCATTATTCATTTTGCAGTTCAGCAGCTATGACAATTATTCAGTTCTTTCATATGAAGATAGCGTGTGTGAGAATATCTGTAACTCCTATGTGGATGTTTTCATTCCATATTTGTTTTTCTCTTGTCATCAAATTTTCATGTCGTGTAATGTACGTGCAGCTGTATGCATTCACACTCTGAAGCAATAAAATGTTTTTTCATGAAAAAGTAAATAGCTGCTTCAGTGCAAACGGCCTCGAAAGGTTTTGATTGTGTCTTGTTTTATTAACGTGAAGGCCATTTGCATTGTGTTTCATTGAGAGGGCGGTGTGTGGAGGTAGTTTTTTAACAGGCGGATTCAGCCAGATTATAATAAGCTGCTGTAATTAAAACGATGATCAGTGTCGCGTGTAACAAACTGCCAGGAGTTTATGATGGCACAGTGGAGGAATAACAGAGTTGGATGGAAGGAGAAATGAAACATCCAGCTCATGGTGATGGGGACACCTCAGGGTTCACATTAGGTCTCATTTAATCTTCTGTGTCTTCAAAACTCTGCAGCATCAAATTTGTGTTTGCTCCATCTTTTTGTAATCCATCTGATTGTGTGTCAGGCTTGTGTGATTCTCTTATTACAGTATCTGGTGTTGTGCTGCCACTCTGAGGATTCTCCCAGTAATGTTCCTGAATCACCTTCTCACTCCTTGTGTTGTTTCATTTCTGTCACCAGCCATGGTGTTCCAGTTTAGATCAGTCTGCTCTAAAAAGTTATTTATGTAGATGAATTGCATTTTACTGCTCTATGATAGTAAACCCAGAGATATGGAAACAGTGAACGTAAAACTGCAATGCATTCTGGGGCATAATCCTCCTCATTTTCTCTCTTGCACGAACACTGTCATCTACTGGACATTTAAAGTCACTGCATGAGTGAATGACTGAAAAACAAAAACTGAAGCGTTACCTTAAATGGCTTCATGAAAAAGGGGAAAGCGTGTGTTTTTTCCATAAATAATCCAAATATTTGGAGCTCAGGCTTTATTCAGATAACCATCAGCAGTTTATGACATTTATAAATGTACATAGAACAACAGCTTTCATGCCCTTTGAGAATTGAGGAAATACAGTACATTCTTATAGTATAGAGAGAGTATACAATTTAAAAGTACATCACAGTTCAACATGACAAATGTTTATTTTTGAAAGGGGCACTGTTGTGTGGTTTATCTAACCTCTCCTCACGCTACAAGATTTTCTTTGTGATTGATTCATGAAGCCTTTTGTTTATCACAAAAAAAAAACAAGTATAAGTCGTCCATGTCTGACAACTTGTAACCAGTCACTTAAATAATCATTACTGATGTTGTCAAATGTGTTCACCTTTTGATTGGTGTATCATAAATGGCTGTTAAGCTGTAAGTGTCCTGTTTATCATTAAGCTGCTTCGGTCACTTGAATGACTTTTTTAACCCATCGCAGTTTAGTCATTACACCACGACTAACCTTCACTTTCTGTGTTAAATGCAAAAACCACTGTAGCAGGGAATGTAGTTGTACTCGTACAAAGACTTTATAGACAGAGATTCTTGATGTCTGGGGGAATGAAGCAGCTCTTCTCATCCTGGGGAATTCATTCATTTATTATTGGACAGCAAACAAGAAAGATCCACCACATATAACAGGGGACAAATTCACGCTAAGATGTCACTAGTGATTTAACTTTGGTTCATACATCTGTATCAGAGACTGTATATATATAGTGTTTAACTATATTTAACTGAGAGTAGTTATGTCCAGCTAACAAGAGGACAAAGAAACTAATTCACAAAGAAACAGAACCATGCATAGCTGATAATATGTCCTGCTTTATTGACTTCCTGTGCTGTGAACTGAATGTGTCCAGAACTAAAGTCACTGTCATTGATTTAGTTATTTACATGGATGCGGTTGAGAATTACACTTATATTGTATTCAATACTTTGTGCTCCCAGACAAAAGCAGAGGCTATTTCCAGGAAGGTTTAAAAAACATCTTTATCTCTTGCGACCATAAAACCATCATGTCCAGGAAGGTCCAGGCCATATTGGATTGTACTGACTAGACCCTGCACAGGAAGTTTGTGCCACTACAAGAACGTACAGAGTTTTTACTAGGGTTGGACAATATGATCGATTATGTCAAGAAAAAAATATTCAGAGCAGTCAGTATTTATTATTATTATTTTAAATGTTACATTACCATTTCTTTCACGTTTAAAGACTGTTTTTGCTCCTGGGTGAAGGCTGTAGGTTTAAACTCTTCTTTATGGAAATATGGCATTATATATTGTACCTCCTCACCGTGCATGATGCATTAGCAATATGTCGAATGAACCTTTTTGAAATTGCTATTGATAATTATGTGAATATTAGTCATATTGTTTTATTGTCGAGCCCTGTAGCTCCTATCGATAAGACTAAAAGATTATATGTATTAATATGCTGAATTTGCACAAATGATGCCACCAGTGCACTTTTTCTGACACACTGGACTTTGGCTCATCTCTCTCCTTATGTAGTAATCCTCTCTAAACTTCTTGTGGTCCTGTTAATATCAAAGTGTTTACAGAGAGCAGCAAACAGAAACACACACATACATAAAAAGTGTCACTGACAGGGATCTATGGGACAAACTGTTAATTCCTTCAAGATGTCTACAGGGAGTCATAGTAACTGTTGACCAGGCCTTGCTTCTTTAATAATGACTCACTGACTGAGTGAAACGTGTATTTGTTCAGTCTGTACTTTGAGCTATACTTTGGGGTTAAGCAAAAAAGTTGTTGACATCCTATGAGGTTGATGACGTTGAGCTTTAAGGGACAATGTAGGGTGCTATGTGTTACTCTCATTACTGTGTATTCACTAATGTAGTCAATCATTGTTGTCACCTAGCAGCTCCTCACATGCTGACCACTTCATTGTTATTCCCAAGGTGTCTATGAGGGTTTTAAGTCTGTGGACTCACGTGCTACAGTAAGAGCAGCTCTGTGCAGAGTCAAGAATCATCACTGAGACCACAGAGGAGGCTCTTGCTGCTTTTTGGACTCTCTGCCTCTGTGACGTCAGCTAGAGATGGATTGTGAGCGGTTCACATCTGTCTTTCATGTCAGAGGTGATCTCTTTTATTTCCCAGCAAAATATTCATCCACGAATTTAGACTGACACAAAACAATTTATTGTAGATCGCTAATAAAATGCAATGGCAGTTTACTGTCTGCGATCAGTCACACACTGATTACATCCTGGTGCTTTTAGTCATTCAAGAGCAGTCTCACTTCTTGACCTGAGGTCTGTCTTCTTTTCAAAACACACCAAAACATGTTTTTTCTGAGCATTTAATTAGAGCACGCCTCCATTTTACTATATTTATTGCTGAATCAAGTTCCATAGATAGATAGATAGATTGATTGATAGATAGATGGATAGATTGATTGATTGATAGATGGATGGATAGATAGATAAATTCCTGAGTTACAGCAGCAAGGTCCCTAGCACATAACCCATTATATAGATGAATGAACAATATAAATAAATAGTAATAATTTTGAATTTCCACTTCACATGTACTGTCATATAAAATGTGCTATATTAATAATCTTAACATAACATATTTAAGTTGATTTCAAAATGATCACACACCGAATAGTTTCCTTAATAAGTTGTACGCAGGAGAAGTTGGTGTTCACAGTCTGATGTAGGAGTTTACCGCTAGCACTTGAACGCATCACACTACGTCGCTGACGCCTGTGACGAGTCTCTCCGGAGCCGCGCCTCCTTCTCCTCCTCCTCCTCCTCCTCCCGCTGCCGCCGCACGGAGCCGACCCGCCGGAGCACAGAGGAGTCCGGCCCGTCTCTGCCCGCAGCCCGCTAACCTCGCTGCAAGGCCACCGCGGGGAACATGGCGACGGAGAAGACGAAGCATGAAGGAAGAGTGAAGATCGGACACTACATCCTGGGAGACACGCTGGGAGTGGGCACGTTCGGGAAGGTTAAAGGTAATGTCTGCCTGCGTGTGTGGATCCTGCCGACAGGAAGATGGTGGCTGAGTGGGAGCTGCTAGCCTAGCTGCTAGCGTAGCCTGCCGCCGAGGCTAACCTGTCGCAGCGCCGGGGAAGGGAGCGCACACTTGTTGGTCCGCCACTCCGTCTAAACTCCATTTTTTTAACCAACATGGCGTGTTGCTGCGACACTCCGACACCCCACTAGCTGCAGATAACACAGTTAGCGTCGGGGGAGCTAATCAGAGAGCCACAAGTCGCTTGTCAAAGACTGACACCGGGAAGTGAACCGACTTCACTGGTTCTGGCGCTTGCAGCCTCTCCTCTCTTACTCACACATTCAAACACAGTCAATGGATGTCCTCCACCTTGGAGTCATATTTGGGCTTAACTCCTCTTCCGTATGAGTTGTATTCACCATCCATGAGAGGGGGCAGTGTTCCTTTAGCTGAGGAGCGAGGGAGCCAGACAAACCCAGCCGCCCTGCGTTGTTAGATCACAGGGATTCTTCAGTTAATGTCAATATATCCTAGTTAATCTGAATCCTCATCACCACAGGGATGAAATACCCGATTATAGAAAACGTGCTCATGTTCTCTCTGAACTTGTCTCACCTTGACTGCAGGCTGTTTTTCTCGGACGCCGGAGCACATCCTGTCTCATGCCAATGTACGACCAAGCCCCAAAGTAACAAATCAGACCTTTTACTAAAAGTTAGGAACATCCAGTGGGTTTGTTTACACTCAGTTATTCCCTGTGAGTCACCTCCCTGCAGGTTTTTTTTGATGTTGCTGAAAAGGACCACACAGTTCTGGAGTTTTTGCTGTATCATTATGCTCTTGATTACAGGAGACTTGGTAAATAGTGCAACTACTCCCACAACTGGTAGTTAAATTAGATCTGCAGCAGCCCGGTATTAACTCCCATGTTGTGCGACAGCTCTGTCTTCCCACCATCCACCCAGATGTTATTGGTATTCCTCTCTATGTATTTCCTGATTTGTTTGGGTTATGTTTGCATACCTTTCTCCTGACTGTGCTGCAACAACAGATATGGTTATTCATTCCTGAGCTGGAAGATAACATTTCTGGTTTCAGATTAAAAACAAACTTCATGAGCCCTTGGCCAAACTGTGTCCAAAAGATAAACAAAGTTCAGATTGAACTGGTGTTTTGCATTAGGTTACAGTTGCATATATTTCAGTGTTTTGCAGAGACACTTGTAGCTTTTTCACCACTCCATGGATTACAGACAGCATCTTACACTTAAATCTGCTATGGTCGATCTATTTATATCAACAGCAGGTCAAATGAATTCTTGTAATTGGAAAGGATACTCTATAGAGTATTTTTACTGTCACGTTGAATATTTGCCAACAACCATATCAACTTTACTCACTAACTAGAATGGTGTTCAGGGAGTACATACCTCTGTCAAGGACCAACAGTCCCCATATGGAACAACATTTTAATTACTAGATCTGGATTTTATTTGGATTGAAGTCAAATTGCACAGACAAATACATATCATTCCGGAAACATGTCAGACATTCTCTGAGAAATCTATGAGAAAGTTGGAAAAGGCCCGATCTCACAATGTTTAAGAATTTGAGAAACATTCCTGGATCCAACCCTGATCCATATCTGCATTCACATCAAAACGTGTTGATCTCTTCCCTGACCCATACTGCACCTTCCACCAAGTTTCATGGTAATGAGTCCAGTAGTTTTTGCGTCATCCTGCAAACTAATAGAAAAACAAACAGAAAACATAACCACCTTGACAGAGGTAATAATCACCATGCAACGTAACAGATCCAGTCATGTCAACAGAGCATTTTAGTGTCTTCTATAAGGTGATGATGTCAAGTCATTGTTACATGTCTAACTTTTTCATTCTGCCTCCAAGTGGCCAAAGAAATCAGTTACTCCATGTTTAAAAATTGTTCTCTTAAGTTCCTGGAAAAGAAAACAAGGTTTTCCCGCTTCATTGTGACAGTAGTTTTGCATTATTGTGTGATATTTCTGCTTTGGCTGTGGTATCTTTCATCTTTGCTGTGGTCTGGGTTGTAACTATTATCACTCATGTGCTCTCATCCTTTTTTATCCCACAGTGGGCCAACACGAGCTGACTAAACACCAAGTGGCAGTCAAGATCCTGAACAGACAGAAGATCCGCAGTTTGGATGTGGTGGGAAAGATTCGCCGGGAGATCCAGAACCTCAAGCTTTTCAGGCATCCTCACATAATTAAACTGTAAGTCCTAGATTACACCCTGCTTGCTGCTCTGTAATCCCCCTGCCACCACATTAATACCACCCACCACTCTATTTCCAGGCCTTTAATGGTGTGTTTTTGACAGTATCCATCTAGGACGATATCTGCCTGAGCCAGTCTCTGCTCCCATCAGCCCTCTGTTTATCCCCTTCTTTTGACCTTTCTGTGTTCAAAAGTGCTTCATCATTGTCTTGCTATACAACCTCTTCCTTTTCAGTTCAGCAATTACATTTTAGTAACTACCAAATTTTAGTTTGAAAAGCACAATTGCATTTCAGCAGGAAGTAATCGTTCAAATTGAGTTCCGTCAAAGCAGACACGTTATCTGTCTCGTTTCAAGTTATTCAAAACAGAACCGATATCATCTGCACACGTTGAGATTATAGGTGTAAAATTCAGAATGAGTCATTGTGTAACTTCACATGTATGATCTGATTGTGTCAATAATGATCAGAGGCCAGCTCAGTACGCTGTGCTTGCTTTAATAAACAGGTACTTTTAACAGAGATAGTTAACACCCACTGGCCTGAAATAAACACTCCGTCTGATAACATCAAATTGTCGCAGTGGTTAACTGTCACCAGTCTAAAAATATGGTTTGAAAATTCCAGAGGCACTTCCTGTCTGGTGTGTGTCTGCGGGCGGCAAGGCCACAGTTGAGGACTCACTAAACTGACTAGCAGGTGTGGCTAATTGCCTGAAATACCAACACCATGTTATGCATACACAAAAATGTAAACCCGTGTGTGTGCGCAGAGAAAACAGCCCAGTCTGTCTCATCTGAGTCGAGTGAAGACAGATGTAGCAATGTAACACAACACTGCTCACTCTGGTTCACAGGATTGTGTCAACTGTGACACAAGAGATGAGCAGTTAGTCAACATCTGTCACATCTGATAAAAGTTGGGTAATTTAGACTTGGAGATGCATTTTGTTCCAGACAACACACAAACTGCACCAGAACCACTGTTGCTTTTGATTTCAGGCAAACGTGGTTTTGTTTTGTGATTAATGGACTGATGCTAGTGGATAAAACATGTCCACAGTGTCCCATTGTCATTTCACTGTTTTAAAACATGGATTGTGAGCTGCAGAGTTTACTTGCAGTGTGGTTTCTGTTCAGCTGACAGGGAGGTCAGTTCTTGGAGCTTGGGGATAAAAGTGACTTCTGTGCAAGTTTAGCCTCACAGTCACTGTAGTGTAAATAGATGTAGGTGTGATAGGTGCCAGTGTGGATACTAAAGCTGAGTCAACAGATCACTGTGCAGCTAACGCTAGACGATGTGCTGTCTTGTGATTGGGAGTCTTGCAGCAAGGACAACACTTGCTGTGTGGGGTGCTGCTCACAGAATGACACATCAGGCTGGGGAAGAGGTGAAATGGTTCAGTGGATCAGTCGTAAAGAATAGAGAGCCACTCGGGCCACATTTTTCTCTTTGAATTAGCTGTGTTATATAAGCTGCAATAAGTTTGTGTTGGCCTGTACCTGATATTGTTATTGTTATTGCTTGATTTCCCAAATTACAGTCATGTGTTGTGGAAAAATCAGAGGGAGCCATATCATGATACACACCATTACCGGTCTTGCGCTCTAATTGGCTGAAGTTCCAGCAGGTTGGAAATGCGATCGCAGTCATTGGTGCGTCAGTGACTCTTAGGCAAGCTTCTGTAGTCACATCTCTGTGAGTTTACACATTGCATTGGGCGACTGCCAATTGGGGGCTTTGCAAAACTCATCTGCGACTGGCAAATCAGGCTGAAAGTCATGTGTTGTGAACTCGGCTTCAAATGCAAGAATTTGTCACTAAGCCTTGGATAGAAAACAGACAGAAACCACAATGTTGTTGTTTCACTTAGTCTGATCCACTTAAGTAAAGGTTAGTTCACACTCAGTTGGTCTGTACGAGACCTAAAACAAAGTTTTCCCTCACTACTACTACTACTACTACTACTACTACTACTAATAATAATAATAATAATAATAAGCAAGGAAGCTCCTTTTGGCTAAAGTTGAGTTATTTGGACACTATCCTGCTTTTTTTATTAGTACATGGATTTTTCGATTGGATTTTTTAAAATTACATTTGTGCAGTATTGAACAACTGAGGCCAAGGGAGAGGTGGGTATGCATGAGAACAATGAAAAAAAGGAAATTTTTGTAAAGAACATACATTGCTTTTCTCAAAGGAGTATTGTTTTTATTATCAAGGCTGAAAATAAAAAGATGTTTTGTTTTTGATATATTGTTATTCTCTGATATTTTACTAGAAGCGAGGCCACGCTCACGTCTTTGGCCGAGATGTGTTTTATGTTTGTGAGACATGGAGGACACAAATATTTGTCCGCTTTCCAGATTTTTAGGTTTCCACAATAAATCCAGGAAATGAAGAAGCTGACATTCCTATTTTTCTTTCTTTATCTGATTTGCTTTCTTATTTTCTTTGATAAAATGTCAGATACTTTTCTATGTTTATATTGTGTTATATTAGCTACATTATTATCATAATTTGAACTTTGTGCTCACAGGTATCAGGTTATTAGCACCCCTACAGACATCTTCATGGTAATGGAATATGTCTCAGGAGGAGAGCTGTTCGACTACATCTGCAAAAATGGAAAGGTAATACAAAATGTCTTGTCAGGTTTAATAATGTCCCTCGTTTCATCTTCCTGTCTTTCCGTATTATATGGAGCAAATGTATATTTTATTATCAGTGGGAGCACCAGAAGACAGAAGTGTAATATGCTCTCTGTGTCATTGTCAGCCTTTTGTGCAGACTCTTTGAACCAAAAACCAACAGAGATTGGGACAGAAATGAAAACTTAGGAAGTGCCGCTTAGTCAGCTGTGAGGTGCTAACTGAGATCACACCTAACAGATCATTTCTGCCTCGACAGTTGGATGAAAAGGAGAGTCGTCGGCTGTTCCAGCAGATTATTTCAGCAGTAGACTACTGCCACAGACACATGGTGGTGCACCGAGACCTCAAGCCTGAAAACGTGCTACTCGACGCACACATGAATGCCAAGATCGCCGATTTTGGTGAGTGTGCCTCTGTCCTTTCCTGAGGGGGCCTCAGCAGGTTAAGGGTGAATGTGAATGGCTGTATGCCGGTGACCAGTTCATTGTTTACCCTGCCTCTCACTCAACGTCACCTGGGATGGACATAAGCCCTCCTGCAGCCGTCAAGGGTTTAGCTGTATACCTAAAAGATGGGCTTTTTTCTTGAAATTAAATATAGTAGGTGAAATCATCTCTTTTAATGTTTTATGCAGACGAAACTACACTAGTCATGTTTGTTAAGCTTTACAAAACATTCAATTTGAACACAACTATGTTTATTAACAAGAAAACCAAGCAGATTACCTTTCAGATTAAATCCCCTCAAGCATATATGAAGAATTTCTTTTCAAACTCTGAATCTCAAATTTACTTATGCAAAGTTAATTTTGTTGTCTTACATTGAGTCAATCCATGCAATGACTCAAAAATGAATTCCAGCTGCACAAGCATGACGGGAATTGTTTTTACCGAGAAATGCTTAGTGACAGATAAATCTTTGGGGGACAGCCTCTAAAACCTCAACTCGAGCTATGTCATCAAGATAATGATAAAATTCTCATTATTCCTACCAAGTTCTTGCAATACTTTGAAATGTTTGCTATAACTGTAAAATGCTGTCCAGGTTTATCAAACATGATGTCAGATGGAGAGTTCCTGCGAACAAGCTGTGGTTCTCCAAATTATGCTGCTCCTGAGGTCATCTCAGGAAGGTAAGGATTTTCTTTTCCTCGCTTGTGGCTGAATTAGTAAAACGTTTCTTTCATGACTACAGAACTGTTTCTCCGCTTTTGTCCTCAGGTTATATGCTGGTCCGGAGGTAGATATCTGGAGCAGTGGGGTCATTCTCTATGCCTTGTTGTGTGGGACTCTTCCTTTTGATGACGACCACGTGCCAACACTCTTTAAGAAGATCTGTGACGGGATCTTTTTCACACCAACGTATCTGAACGCCTCCGTAATAAGCCTCCTTAAACACATGCTGCAGGTGGACCCCATGAAAAGAGCCACCATCAAAGAAATCAGGTGAACTGGCGTAGATAGTATAAAAGTCATATTACTGTTTTAACCATCCTGTCTTTTTGAAGACAAGAGTGAAGATGTTAATCAAGTGCATCACATTATAATGTCCCCTTCTCCTACAGAGAGGACGAGTGGTTCAAACAGGACCTTCCCAAGTACTTGTTCCCCGAGGACCCCTCCTACAGCAACAACATGATTGACGATGAGGCCCTGAAGGAGGTGTGTGAGAAGTTTGAGTGCACAGAGGAGGAAGTCCTGACCTGCATATACAGTCGCAACCATCAGGACCCGCTGGCCGTCGCCTATCACCTCATCATTGACAATCGTCGCATCATGAATGAAGCCAAGGACTTCTACCTGGCATCCAGCCCACCCGACTCTTTTCTAGACGACCAGCACCTGACTTCTTCTGGTGCAGCTGTGGCCGGCATTATCAAGCCCCACCCAGAGCGCGTACCATTCCTCTTGGCGGAGACTCCTCCCAGGCCTCGGCACACGCTGGACGAACTGAACCCCCAGAAGTCCAAGCACCAGGGTGTCAGGAGGGCCAAGTGGCACCTGGGAATCCGCAGTCAGAGCAGACCAAATGATATCATGTCAGAAGTGTGTCGTGCCATGAAACAGCTGGATTACGAGTGGAAGGTAAGTAACAAGCTAAACTTATCCAGCAGTATGCTATGCTCAATATAAAAAACAACTGCTTTTTGAGTGACTGTAACTACAAATTTTAATTCAAAATTGGTCAGATTTTCACCAAAGTTAGTTTATAATGTCAGTAAGACCTTCATGATCTTTGGCTTTAGAGTCATCAGCACTTAATGACCAGTCTTTTTAAGGGGTCTCAGGCCTCTAAATATTGTGTTCCTAGAAATACAACATTTGTGGAGTCATGATTTTAAGCTAAATGTTAATCTTACTTTATTAGCATTCCAGATCCATGACATTTCAGTTCCATGGTTCTCTTACATGACCAACATGCCAAATTTATTTAAGATCTGTGACATTGCAGCACAAAAGTGTGATGATTTGACACAGATAATCTGTAAAGTTGATTTGTGACATCAGAATAAATATGTTACTCGTTGTTTTCAGGTAGTGAATCCATATTATTTACGTGTGAGACGGAAGAACCCGATCACTGGGATGCAAACCAAGATGAGCCTTCAACTCTACCAGGTGGACAGTAGAACCTACCTCCTTGACTTTCGTAGCATAGACGGTAAGTTTTACAAGCACTGTGTTGATTTAACTGACTTAAATGTGTGTGAAAAACACAGAAAGGTGGATGGTATCACTTTTATGATTAACTTGAAATTGAAAAGAAACAGGTCTATCATCTAAACTAGTCTCATACACCTGTTAAAATTGGCAAGACATTCTAGTGAGACCCGAAGTTGATTTGTATCTAGGTTGTGGTTTCCTGCATTCTGTACTGTTGAACAGGAAGTTCAATGTCAGTGCAGACTTCATAAATGATTGACTCAGACTGGGGTGTTCTGGCTTTTTGCACAGGCTGTGTGGGTACTGAGCGGCAGCTCAAAGGAAAGTCTGAGATAAGAGTATTGTTATGAGCCTTTTAGCGTAGCAAAGGAATGCTACATAAAGGTTGCGAGACAAAATTTGTGTCCAGGCTGTAAAAGCAAAGTCAACAGAAGTACAGGAAATCTAAATCTGATTGTTGTGACCTATTTCTATCAACTAACAAAATTAAATTCAAAACTTATTACCACATGAATGACTTCCAAATACATTTTTTATTTGAGTCAAATTAAAAAAAACAGTTTAGGCGTAAAGTTATTTAAAACATATGAATTTCTCAAAATTAATATCAAGCATTGTTACCAGATGTGGTTCCTAAAATAAAAATCCCATTCATTTTCTGAATAGAGATTTTAAATATCAGCCATATTATTGTAACCATCTATTTAGACTTATTGAGTGCACAGTCTTGTACCTTTGTTTTCCAATATTTTTGACTCTGAATCAAATGTTTCATGGTCACAATTCATTTCATAGCTGGATTATAAGGATTTTCTGAAATGCCAATTGAGAGAACCCCGGACCAGAGCTGTTCTAAATTTGGGCTGTCACCATTGATCTGGAATGAAATAACATTCACGTTTGTTTGTCATAAACTGCTGTGTAAATTATTCTGAAGACATTTTGTGTCTTTTGTCATTCAGATGAGATGTTGGAGATAAAATCTGGAACTGCTACCCCTCTCCGCTCTGGGTCAGTGGGCAACTACCGCACCACTATAAAGAACGATGTAGACGGGGCTGACACTCCACCTGCATCTAGCATTGTGCACCCCACCAAGGCGGCAGAGGGCTCCTTAGCGTCGTCGTTAACCTCATCCATTGACTCAACGGGAGGCGGGGACAGCGCACCTGTCCCTCGACCAGGGAGCCACACCATCGAGTTCTTTGAAATGTGCGCGAATCTTATTAAACTACTTGCACGATAACTTGCAAAACAATCGCTAGCCTTTTATCCTCTCTGAGTGTCTTTATAGCAATAAGCATGCAACCGATTCATGGCTCAATTCATCCCTGCTGAGGATGAAGTGATTGTTCCATGGCACTGATGCAGGTTGGTGTTCCCTACGCTGAAGGGATGTATACTGAGCTGACAGGGGATGTAAGGGGTTATTGGAAAAAGATGAATGACGAGCTACGTAATAGCTAAGACAGAGCAACAGTTTCCGGATCAGTTTAAAAGCAAAAGTCCACGTCCCACCTACACATAAATGCGTAAGTGATTACACTGAATTTTCTGTACTGTAGCCAGTGAGCATTCCAGTGCAGAGGACAAGACCAAGATTTTGCCTGCAGAGAAGAAATCCACAAGTTGAGGGTTGGAGTAGTGGGGTGGCAGACACGTGTGTAGGACGCAGGAAGCACTTTTGCACAAGTTCCTTTTCTTTCCCACTGCTCTTGTTGTTCAGTAGGGATCAGAGAAGTGGTGCAGATGTATCGGGGTGCTGCACTGGCTATAATTGGGGTCACCATGCCCGTCGTTCATTGGACTACAAGAAGTGCAATGACCCCTGTATTTCTGTCTCTTGTCAGGGATAAAAGAATGCGTCATCAGATTTATGTTTGGTTTTCTTCTTTTTGTGAATCTGACTTGTCAAAAACTAAATCTTCATGGTGTTGTCCTTGTTGTAAAATTTTTTTGAAAATTGTCTGTCCCCAACATTTTTATATATAAAGAGGTGAATATATTTATCAGTGCATTAAGTGGACAGAGTGTTGGTTCTGTCGGAAATAGATTTTTTCGTTCTTTTGTTGCATTAAGATCTATTGCTGGATGGTATATATTTTCTTTTTTTACCGTCTTGTTTTTCAAATCAATATCACAGTTTGGTTTCCTTCAATCACAATTATTCTGATACTTGATTGTTGTTCCAGATAAATATAGCCTGCTTTTACCATATAAGAGATATTTTGCCATGACAGTCAAAATCTAGAAAAATC